TTGGGGAAAGAGCAGCGGTGGCTCCCTACGCGTTAATATCAAAAGAAAGTACGGTGAAGGGGAGGGGGGAGGATCCCCGTCTAAGAAAACCAAAAAATACATATGACACACCCCTAGGGGTTCCTCTCCCCACATTACAACTCACAAAAAAAATTATCCCAAAAAATACTGGTATACCCAAAAACCCATATAACCAAAAATAAGTAAACCTGTGAACTGTAAAGCTTGGCAAGCCAAATTAAAAACATGTACAAAAGGCATCTTCACAAAAGAATAGTTCTCCATCAGCATTATCACGGACAGTCATCCAGCAGAAAACCATGAGATCAAAACTATAACAGGAATCAGAAACAGGAAAAGGAAACCACGGCCTAAAGTCAAAAGATCACCTGCCAAGAGAAACAATAACCTACAAATGTGAAATGCAAACCCGAAGCAAACCGAAAACAAATCATCTAGAAAGCCAATAAACATGAGGGATTAAAAACGGACATAAGGCAAGTTTAAATTATCTCCAATGAGGAGTCTTCTAAGATGAGGAGGGTAAATCCCAACGTGACAAACCTCTCCAGCACATTTGGCAAGCCAATCAGCTGTGGAGTTGCCCTCCCTATGAATGAAACTCCAATTTATCTCGAGATGCTTCTCAGCCATAGCATTCATGATACATTTAAAAGTGCATAAAATATCCCATGAGGGTGGAGAAATACCCAATAGAATATCAAAGAGCAATTTAGAATCTATTTCCACCTCTAATTTGTGAAAATTAAAAACACTAGCCACCGTTAAAGCCAGCAAAACCCCCCAGCATTCCGTTGCCAAAGGGTTATCAGCCGTAACAGGGGAGGAAAAAAAACAAAGACATCTATCTTCAAAATCTCTAAAAATTCCCCCGACCGCAACATAATCCGGATGCCAACAACCATCCACATTTGATTTAACATAATTTGGTGGGGGGGGGGAGTCCACCTAATGAGTCGGGGAGGCTTTAAAACAGGAACATCAGTGGAACCAACCCTTAAGACTTTGTTATAACAGACAATCACAGATGCAACAGTCATCGAAGCTGGGGGGGGAGTATGGTATTTAAAGCTATTTCTGGCATTCCAGAGAAACCAAAGGACCAATAAAGGTAGGGGAAACCCCTCTTTGCCATCATCAAAATCTTTCCAACGCCATAAATAATTGCTTAAAGACCCTCTATGCATCCACGAAAAACCGAAATAAGTTCCAAGCATATTCCAAACTTTTAAGGAAAAAGCACATTCAAAAAAAATGTGTCTCGTGTCATCCTCCTCCACTTTGCACATACTACATGAGCCGAACAAGAACGAACAATTCTTTGTTCATGTTTGACCGTTTTATATATCGAGCGCAAAAAAAAAATATTTGTGTTTGACTCGTTTGCTTAGCGGACAAATCTAATTTGAACTGCTTAATGAACCGAACACCAATTGTTTATGAATAACGAGTTATTTTGATAACCATATTCTTGAGACTTCATAAATTACAACAAAAAAAATCTTTTATTAGAGGAGTGCACCACTTAGTTCGAGCATCTTATGTTGAAGTGTGATTTAGTGGAACCATATGAGAACACTATAGTTCGATATCTAGGGGGATTGAGACTATCTATTGACAACGTGATATAGTTAGCTCTGAGGATGGAATGTGTACCTCAGAGCTAGCTAATACGAGGGATTGAGACCTCAGAGCTAACTACGTGATATAGTGATAGAGCTAGCTAATACGTGATATAGTGGTCTCAATCCCTCGTATTAGCTAGCGATTGAAACTGCACAGGAGGAAAAGAGGATTGATTAGACCAACATCGCAAAAATATTTACAGTTAGAAATCATTTCAAATATCATGGCTATGAGAACATTGCATTCCATTGTCCGAAAAAGAGGGTGATTTTTTCTACTAAGCAATGTGCAGTGGACGAGGCCGAGAATGAAAACCCAGAGGAGTAGAATGGAGAGTACCAACTACCTAGAGATTACGGTGAGATACTTCTGATTCGATGAGTTCTCTAGACCGAGCCTAAGAGGGATTAGCAGTGGCTTGGGCATAACATCTTTCGTACCTATTGTAATGTAAAGGTGAAGGTGTTCATCCCATCATTGATGGAGGCAGTTGTGAAATTGTGCTATCTGTGCAGATTGTGGATAAATCGCGCCTCTCTACACAGAACCATTCCCAACCGCTCAACTGGTTAAAGAAGGAAAACGAGATGGGTCAACGAAAGATATTTGATAGAATTCTCAAATGGAGACAAACTGTGGGATCAAGTTTGGTGTGATGTTGTCCCTATGACTATATGTTATATTCAGTTGGGCCGATCATGGCAGTGCAACGAAGGTACACTTCATTATGGCCACAAAAATACCTACACATTTCACAAAAATATATTTCTATCATTAAAGGAATCAACAACGACGAGCACTCATGATGACCAACCATAGCTGTACGATGAAGGTACACTTCATGCTGGCCACAAAAATACCTACGCGTTTAACAAAAATATAATTCTACCATTAAAGGAATCAACACTGGTGAGGACTCATGTAATGATTGGAGTCATCGTATTTTGTGCTACCTTTCTACAAGCTATGAGAGAGATGACACTGGGATCGCCTTAGTGATACTAGAAGGTAGTGATGCGGAGGAGTCAATACCTGAGGGAGTGTGAACCTTGGTAATAGAGTTTCAGGAAGTTCTGAGTTTTGACGGGCAACTGTCACCTGGATTACTACCCTTATGAGAGATTCATCATGCTATAAACCTTATCCATGGGTCATTGCTTCTCAACCGACCCGCGTATCGGATGTGACTAGCAGAATATGAGGAACTATAGAAATAGGTCGAGAATTTGATGGCTCGTGGACTAGTTCGCAAGAGCACTAGTTTGTGTGTTGTACTAGCTTTGATTATGCCCTATAATGATGAATTATGGCACTTGTGTATAAATAGTAGAGCCGTTGGAATAAGATCATAATCAAGTACAGATTCCCTATTTCGAGATTAGATAATTTGCTTGACCAACTACATGGAGTAAGTGTTTTCTCCAAGATTGATTTGTGCAGTTGCTACCACCAAATCATGATGAGACCAGAGAATGAGTGGAAAACATCCTTTAAAAGACAAGAATTGTCCTTTTCTTCTCTCTCTCGTTGTTCATGTGTGGTGGGATTGAGCGAGCGAAAGGATAATCCCTCGTATTAGCTTTCCCTTTTTTTCTAATCTAAATATTGATTTTAGTTTGGACAAATCCGACAAAGAAACGTATAATAGTAATTCAAAACAATTCATGATCAACAAAAGATAAGATTCAAAAGTGCAAATATAACGACAAAGTAAAGAAACTTTACTGCCATTCAAAAAACAAGATCTAAATCTGATTTAACGGATAACAATAAGGGGAAAAAGGGGGGCTGAACAGATAAATAAAATGAGCAAAGGAAAGGCTAAGGGGTGAGGTTGTCCTTAGAACTACACCTAAGGAGCAAGTGCAAGAAGATGTAATTTTACATTTTCTTTTTATGAGTTAAGTTAATTAAAAGTTAAAAAGCTTGTTATTATGGGTTGTTTTTCTTCTTGATATACCCAGAAGCATTATTTCAGACAAAATGTGAAATTTCTCAGCCATTTTTGGAGGTCTTTATGGGATAAGTTAGATACAAAGCTTAAGTTTAGTTCAACAGCTCACCCTTAGATGGGCAGACATAGATTGTAAACTACAATTTAGAAAAGCTTAGATGCTTTGTGGGAGAGAACATCAAGGAGTGGGATGTGTTTCTTCTTCGGATGGAGTTTACCTATAATCGCTCTACTAATCAATCCACAGGTCATTGCCAATTTGAGATTGTGTACGGCCAGAACCCTCTTATGCCTTTGCAGCTAGTCTCTATACAGCTTGACGTTGAGCTTAACACCGATGCCGAGATTTAAGTCAAGGATATTCAGACCTTAAATGAGCAGGTCAAAAAGAAAATTGCTAAGCAAAACACCAAGTATCAAAAATAGGCCAACAAGTCCAAGTAATTATTTTCAAGGACGGCGGCATGGTGTGGATTATGCTGAATAAGGAGCGATTTCTGCAAAGTCATTTGAAAACCTAAGTCTAGTACTAATGGTCCATTCAGAATTGTTAAGAAGATTAAATGACAATGCCTACAATATTGATCTACCAGGAGACCATAATAGTTTTGATACATTAATGTTGTTGATTTTTTGTCGTACCGCGAGGACTTGGGTGTCTCTAAAGATGAGGGGGAAGCCCCTCTTACTCAAGAGTGACGCGGGATGCAGTTTTTTCCGCAATTCTACAAAACTACGGTATTGGCTTCTGCGATCGCAGCAGTCTAGCACTAATGCTATTGCTTCTTTTTAAATTTGCTTTCATTTACTTGCAGCTAATTTTTTTTCTTTTCTTCTTTCATATCTTGTTATTTCTTATTTTTATATTTTCTAGTTAGGCTAATTTATATTAGGAGACTTTTATATATGTGTATCGGGCTGTTTGGATTTTCAGTTTTTTGATTTTATAAACTATGAAATGTGTCTCTGATTTACACCCTTCAAAGTGTTGTAGCCTCTTCCATTCATAGATGGCGTGTCTGTAGCTTGCATAGGAACAGGCGGTGGATCCCCTCGCCGTCCGCACCTCGCCGATTCACCATATGTCTACTGTTTTCAGCCCTATAGCCGCCGACGTGGCTATCACCTGCTGTTTTTGTTGATACTTTAAATTGTATTCTATGATGTCCTCATGTTTGTCATAATTCATCCTTTATTCTCTTGGATCAGCCCCTCTCTTTCCTCATCCCCCTACTAGCACCTACTCGCCTTGCTCCATTTTTCTTGTTATGCACCAGTTTTCAGTGATTTATTTTCTTCTGGAATTACTTAGTTTGTGTATTCATGAAAGCTGAACTTTTTGTTTGCAACCATGCGTATAATTTTTCATTTTTATTTGCTTTTCTCTATGTCCATGCAGGAAGAAATCCGCTTCATGATCAATCCAGAGTTGATCGTGGGGATGCTTTTCATGGTTTCCATGCAGAAGAATGAAGCTATTGAGGTTATTGGTTCAGAAAGGTTTTCAAATTACACCGGGTAAATGCGATCAAGTTAGTTATTTTAGTTTTGAAGTGAACTTTTCTATTTCTTTGGTACTTATTGTACTTAAATCCTAATACAATGGTCTATAATCTGTGTGTTCTGAAATTTTTGTAATCAAATAATATCTATTTCATGGTTTCACCTACCTCTAGTAGATTCATAGTGTGATTTTGGGATTCCATTAAAATTTAGAGACTGGACGGATGGTAGAAAATCTCTGTGCATTTACGATGCAATTTGATCTGCTCCAAATGGAATGTAGTGTAAAATGGTCATTTGCACAGTGTATGTGCAGTGGATTTATGCGTAAGTGAACCGTGAACTAAAAGTTACTTCAGTTTTCCTTTGAACCATGCACAATTTAATTTACTTGTAAACTAATTGCTTACATTATGTTTTGGTGATTTACATGCATACACTGAACTTTTATTTATTTAATTATCTAACAGCTAATTAGTTACATTTACTTAATTTAGCATCTCTTCCATAAATGATATAAAAACTGCTACTAACATTATCTTATGTTAAGTTAAATACATTTTTTGATGCATATATTTTGATGTCAGTTAGACACTAGTGTTATACAAGTAAATGTGAAGACTTAGTTGCTAGATATTTATTGGTACGTGTGAGGAAAACTTCCATTCTTCTTATTCCCTACTTGAAATTTTATGTTACATACTACACTCTATCTACAGAGTAGGAATATACATATTAGGAAAGGTCTGAAATTAAATCTCTCATTACATTACCTAATATACAAGCTTCATATTTAATATTTTCCATTACACTCCCCTTTAGGCTGGAGCATAGATATTGATCATGCCCAGCTTGTTACAAATATAAGTGATTCTTGCTCCATTAAAGATATTTGTGAACATGTCTCCTAATTATTCCTTAATCTTTGTATGAGGTGTAGATATCAAATTCCGTTGAAGCTTTTCACGAACAAAATGACAATCTATCTCAATGTGTTTCGTTCCTTCATGGAAGATAGGTTTAGAAGCAATATGAATAACAGCTTAGATATCACACCACAACTTTGCGAATCGTGAAATGGAGGGAATTGGGTTGGGGCTTTGGCAGTTCGTGTGAAGAGAGTCCAGGGTCTGACAACCTGTGTATTCTCAGTTGTTACAATGAGGCGTTCAATGGAAATATTAATTTGTCATAAAAAAACTAATAGTCTTAACAATAATAGCATTTTGGTTTAACTCTCATTTCTGTGCATGAATTTAGAAAGTTGTACCAAGTAACATTTTTTATTTTTCAAGGCATGTCTGTTATAAACATGGTTACAGGTCAAAAGTTGTTTGCTTTCAGAGATATATTTGATATAGGATATCTGGGACATTTCAGAACCTTAATTAACTGGCTTTTGCTTGGCATCCAAGTTTGACTGGGATCAAGCTAAGCCTGATTTGATTTAGGCTCACCTAAGACGGACTGAGTTGATCCAAATTAGGTTAAGTTAGCTTCTAGTTATCCTAGGTTAGGCTGGGTTAACTCAATTTAAGCTTCCTTGGTTAATTCTAATCTAACTTAAGTTATACTCGAGTAGAGTCTGAACTAATTTAGATTTGATCTATCCATTAATCGAATTAAGTCTAAGTTAAGTTAGACTTGAATCAATTTAAACTTGGTTTAAGTTGGACTTAAATTGAGTTTGACATCGAGTTCCGGTCGGATTGATTCGAGTTAGGTCGGATTGACGTTGATTAGGGTTAACCCGGTGGTTCAGTTGAATTGGGTTGACCCAAGTTAGATCGGGTTGACCCTGTGATTCAGTTTTTTTTCATTTCATGGTTTATTATTCTGTAGTTCATAAAAAGTTTAAAGATTCATGCTAGAGAAAGCATATAGAGTTCATTGATTGATTTGGATTCTTTAGAAATCAGCTTCCTTTTTTTTCATTGTGCAAGTCTACAAGCAGGTTTATGGTTGATCGATTGAAGCTTGCCATCTGCATATCTCCCCCTTCTCTTCTCTCTATTCCCAAGCCAACAACCCCCTTCGAAGCTACATTTAAATAAATCACATCTCCTGGGCTACCCTCAATAAAACCTCAAACCATCGCTGATTCATATTGCTGTTTTCTTGGATGTGACCTGTTTTCTTTTATATTCCTGCACCAGTGTTAGTGCCAGCCATATCATTTGAAAAGAAATATGAAAAATGGTGCTTCAATACAGTTAACCATTTAGATCTTTCATAAAAGCCCTTCAGGCATGCTTTACATAATATAAACTATAAATAACTGTAAAATGAAATGAAATATGTAGCGGAACTGTCTCAATGTGTAATGATCTTTTTCTAGTGATTTTGATGTAATTATCTTAACCTGGGCTGTAGCTATATGATAATTTGCTTGAGATAAATTATTGTCTGATTATGTTTTTTCCTTTCTATTAGGTATGGTTCCTCATTCCGTTTTGCTGGCGATTATGTGGATAAAAGGCCTTTTGATGCTAGAAGTAGACGAAAGACAAGAATAATTGCAGTAGATGCCCTTCAGAATCCAGGAAAATGGCAATATGGACTCGATTGCATTGTTAGGTACACAGATTTGTATACTTCTGATGCATCTCGAAAGAGTTACACAAAACCATTAATATATTAAAAACTACTCCGTATGTGGTTTTCTTTGGTCTCATAAGTTTCCTCATACAGCGGGCACAATGTAATCATAAGTGAGATTTTTTTTTTTAATTTAAATAATATTTTCATAAAATTAATTTTCAGATGCTACAATGATAATATTCTAGAAATATTAACAATGGGAGTAGCTATCCTTTCATTTTTATAAAATACCTTCCTTCAAGTACTGTATGTAATTCCTACATTTTGCAACTTCCCTAAGAAAATACTTTAGCTTAATTTTATCACCATGGGCTGTTGTACTATTATAGAAACAAGAGTTATAAAAAAAATAGCCTGCGCTAAAACTAATAATAGCAAACAGCTGCTTACAGATGGCTGCCAAGGTAATCAAATCCCTGAAAGCCCTGTTGCATCGCTGGTGCAGTACACTTTTCTCAATGGTTTAGGCTTCTTCTGAGGCTAGTTCTTTTGCCTTTCCAGAGCTTCAAAATCCGTTCTCTCCTTCCAATTGCTCTTTCGCAACTTTATTGGCCGGTTACCAACATACTTACCATTCATCTCTTTCAGAGCCGCTGCAAGATCTGAAGGATTAGTGAAACTGAAAAATCCTAACCCCCTGGTTTTTCCAGTCCTTTTGTCTCTCACCACACTCGCCATAACAAATGATGGAAACCTGGAAAATGCTTTTGAAATGACGTCATCATTAACTTCATTGCCAAGATCTCCACAAAATAATCGAAAATCATTCTCAGGCCAATCTGCCAATGTTGGATCTTCCAAGTCTGTCCTGCTGCTTTACGTGGGATAGATTTCTTTTTAGTTTCAGCTTTATGTTCATTCTCACTGCTTGCTAGTGTAGCCTTCACACTTTCTAGGGCCTCTAGTGTGATAGTTTGTGCGTCACGTTGGAACAATTGTTGTGCCTTCCAGCTGATGTAGACGGAGTACTAGAACTTAATTACAGCGAAGCCAAGTCGATTCGCAACTTTCCCACTTACCTATGTTCTGCTTCTGCTCAAAATCATTCGCTTCCTCTCTCCGCTTAGCGTAAACCCTGCTCGACTCACTGTCCTGATCATGAGTGAGAATATATATATATATATATATATATACTGCTAGGGTTTCGCCCGATGGCGAAACCTCGCTTTGATTTCTTCGTTTTCATTCCAAATCGACGACGAAGGGCTCCTTTGTTTTCGTCGCCTTCCCTGTCGCAGTAAGGATCTTGCACTAATACGACTTTGTCATTTCGTCTGCTCCGATTTCGTGACTTTGCCTGCTTCTCCTCATGCTCGTCGTGCGGCTTCTCACATTTCGTCTTTCTTCCTCACGTAGACTGTGCTGCTCGACATTGTCCCTTCCGATTGCCTCGCCTAGTCGTTCTGGAGATGGTCTCGACAATGCATTCCTTTGTCAATGCACTTGCCAGCGACTTTCTATTCCTACTCGTGCTTCTCTTTCAGGTTCAGAGCCTGATTTTCATATTGGCAAGTCCTGTAATATTCCTCAATCTTTCCACAACGCTCTTGAAGGTGGTGATGATTACACTTTCATTAAAAAGCTTGGCAAAAAAAAAATGAAAAGTCTGCTCTTGTTTCCACTAAGGTTGAAACCAGCACTCTCGCGCCCTTTGACACTTTGCTCTAGTGGAGAAATTCCTTTATAGTCACCCAAAAATGAAGATCATTTGGAAATAGTTTGATGTTATGAAGTTATTGGGCAGCTGGAATATTAGCTTACTTGACGGTCGACATGTACTTATTCAATTATCTCACGATACTGATTACACTCGCATTTTTCTCAAAAAATTATCAAGATTGACAATTGTTTTATGAAAATTTTGAAGTGGACTGTCGATTTTGATCCAAAAGCAGAGTCCTCTATCATTCTTGTTTGGATAAAGTTTTCGAGGTTAAAATTACATCTGTTCAACTTGAAAATTCTCTACTCTTTAGTAACTCTGCTTACGGTGCTTACGGTAAGTCTCAAGGTTGATAGTACTACGCTTGCTATCACCAGACCCTTTGTGGCTTGTGTGTTAGTTAAGAGAAATATTACCCAACCAGCTCCGGATGAGAAATAGATTGACACCACTCACAACGGGTATTGGCAAAAAATTGAAATAGAACCACACCCTTCTTATTGCTCTAATTGTAGTATGTTTGGTCATAGTTCTACTATTTGTTGTCTCTTGCATCCTCATCTAAGAACGAATATCTCTAAAGATCAGTCATCTACTATCCTTGTTGAGAAGGTGCAACCCGATTCTCTTTCCAACACCGCAGTTCTAGATAAAGAACATCATAGTATAGATATAGTTTCAAATGTGATTATACCACTCACTGTTATTGAAAAAAACCCACTTACATGCCGAGAATCACGAGAGTGCTCTTTCAATCCGATAAAAAACCAGCTCGTACAACAAGCATTTGCTTCTAATGTTCAACAATCTACACAAGTCCAACACACTTTAGACCAATCCACTGATCAGGTGAGTCAATCTTTGGATGAGGAATGACAGGTCTATTACAGTAGGAAGCAGAAGACTGGAGGCCGACTCGAACTCGGAAATTTATGGGATGATACATTTGTTACTACTGGCAATGACACTCATCTTACCAATTTATTAGCTGGCTCCTTCTCTAGAACTAGAGGCAGAGGCAAGACAAAATCGGGTACAAAATCGGCAGAGGCAAGACAAAATCGGGTCGCTCTCTAACTACTTGATACTTCGTATTTTGGCAGTTTTTTTTCTTCTTTAGGTCTATCATGTTTTTTTTTTGTATTTTTTTTTTTGGAACCATTTGATGTGGTTGTTATTGTGTGGGCAGGGTTTTGGGCCCTCCCACACAATTTATTTGTATCATACTTTCTATTTAATATATTAGTCATTGGGTTTAGGGTTCAATGACTTATATATATATATATATATATTGAAAGTTCAATGACTAATATATTAAATAAAAAAGAGTCCATAGATTTTGTGGAAGGTCCCAAACATGGCACCCAGTCCACACAAAAACCATCAAATCAAATGGTTCCAAAAAAGAGAAAATACAACGAAATACATAAGAGATCTAAATACAAAATTAAAAAGTGCCAAAATTATAGTATCAAGCAGCTGGAGAGTGACATGATTTTTCCTTGCCTCTGCCTCTAACTCTAGGGAAGGAGTCAGCTAATAAATTGGTCAGATGAGTGTCATTCTCAGTAGTAACCAATGTATCATCCATTAGATTCCCTAGCTAGAGTTTTCCTCCGTTCTTTTTCTTCCTCCTCGTATAGACCTGTGATTCCTCATCCGAAGATTGGCATGCCTGATTAGCAGAATGGTCTGAAGTGTGCAGGATATGTTTAGGTTATTGAACATTAGAAGTAACTACTTGTTGTATCAGCTGATCTTCTATCGGGTCGAAGGAACACTCTCGTGTGTCTGCACATGTAAGTGGGTCTTTTTCTTCAATAACAGTAAGTGGTATCAGCACATTTGGATCTGTACTTGTAGTAAGATGTTCTTCATTTGGATCTGCAATGTTGGAAAGAGAATGAGATTGGACCTTCTCAGCAATGATGGTAGGTGACTGATCTTTAGCGACATTCGTCCTTGATGAGGATGCAAGCGATAACAAATAGTAGAACTGTGGTCAAACATACTATAATGAGAGCAATAAGGAGGATGTGGTTCTATCTCAACATTTTGCCAATACCCGTTGTGAATAGTGTCAATCCATATCTCATCCGGAGCTGGTTGAGTGATATCTCTCTCAACTAATACAAAAGCCATAGAGGGTCTGGTGACAGCAAGCGTATGATTATCCACCTTGAGAGGCTTACCGTAAGCATTTTCTCTCGAAAAATATTCAAAATCGACAATCGTTTTATGAAAATTTTGAAGTAGACTGTCGGTTTTGATCCAAAAGTGGAGTCCCATATCATTCTTGTTTGGATAAAATTTTCGAGGTTAAAATTACATTTGTTCAACATGGAAATCCTCTACTCTTTAGCAACTGCTTACGGTAAGCCTCTCAAGGTGGATAACCCTACGCTTGCTGTCACTGGACCCATATGTGTGTGTGTGTGCACGAGCATGTGTAAACATGTAAATAGCTATATTTTATTTTCTTTAAGTATTTGAAGTTTTGCCCATGCTTTAGAGTAAAAGATGATATCATTCAAGTGGTTGGTGGTATAAAATAAATAATAGTATTGATGGTTTTTTTCATGTGTATTAGTTGATTTATTATGGTTATGTTTATTTTTTGTTTTATTATTATTATTTTTTTTTTTTTTTACGGTTGTGACCGCTAGTTATGGCTATTAGTTAAGTTATCATGTAAAAATTTGAATTCTTATTGCCCAGCTTTGATAACTACTAAACCATCTAGGCATAAGCAATATAATATGTGCTTTGTTTTATGAAATATTATTTTCCAATTATCCATGTTAGGGCAGTTAACAATCTAATGTCAAGCTGAGCTAGGGTCTACCCGAAAAAATAATTCTATCTAAAATTTTGGCTCGTATCTCAGCTCGTTTATTTCAATTTGATCTTGATATGAGCCAATATTCAAATCATTTTTTGAGCAATTTACATTCATCGAGCTAAATTCGCTCAATTCACAGTCTTAATATCACTCAGGCTATTAACAATTTGATTTCGAGTCAAGCTAGGGTTGGCTCGCAATTGACTAAAAAAAAAATGCAATCCAAAATTTTGGCTCATAGTTCGGCTCATTTATTTCGATCTAATCTCAATACGAGCCAAAATTTGAATCAATTTTCGAGCGTTTAACGATCTTCAAGCTAAATTCACAGCCCTAATCCATGTTTACAACTTTAGGTGTTTTATCTACCTTATTTTGTCTTTTTGCATAATTTCTAGCTAAGGTACACTTTACAAACATCGGGGCATAGAAACGATACAACATGAACACAAACCTATTTTTGAAAATGTA